ACATTAAAGAATGAAAGAAAAATAAAATAAAAACAATAATAATCAAAGAAGTCAAAAATAATTTATGTGTGAAAAAGATCAAATTATATGATTTTAAAAAAAAAATAATCAAAAAGTAATTTAAAATTAATTTTATCACTTTTATAACTGTAGCGGTATATGTGAGCCACTTTTGTAACGGTAGGGATATACGTAAGTCATTTGTGGAACAATAGGGGTATATATGAACCACTATCATAACAAGGGATATAGTAACTCTAAATAACAAAGTTGAGGGGTATATCATGTCCTTTTCCCTAGATTAAATACTTTTTTTAAAAATTAAGGGCAATTTTATTAGCAGTGTCCAAATATAATATTCTTGTGAATTTTTTTATGATGGGTTGGATTACAATAAACTAAACAATGAGTCATATCTTAACCTGATGACAAATTCTTGTCAAGTTTTAATTTTTTAATTTATATTTTATTTAATAACTAAATAAGAAAATAAAATTTTTAATTTTTTGCGGCTATATATAACATATCAAACCAAAAATTATAATATGATTTTTAATGGTCCAATCTGAATTACGTATTTTAGCTCTAATCAACCCAAATTTAGATGTGCGGAATTAAGTAGATTAAAATAAATTCGATTAATAAATATATATTATTAACTAGCTTAAACTTGAACAAATTAGGCAAATCATGTTTTCAATGGCTAATTTATCATCCCTAATATAATGACAACATTCTTTACAAAGACATATTATGTGCTCATTGTATTATTCTGTAGACGTATAAACTTCAAGAAATGTCTAATTATTCCCTTGTAGCAACTAGCAAACTCTCATTTGGGTTTTGACAAGTTTTATTCGTTCTATTATTATATTTTTTTGCGTGAAGAATAAAAGGGGAATATTCTCGTTTTCGTTTTCATTTTATTTTCCTAATATTTTTGGTTGCTTCTTTTATGGAAATATCTGTTAGTGCAGTGATAACTTGAAGTGGGCCATGCGTTGGGTTAGAGAACTTAAATGGGCTGGGCTAGTAAAGAGAGGAAGTGGGAAAGCCCAAGTTATTAAATGGGCTCAATTAACAAGGTCGCTCTGCAAATTTTCTATTTTTCAACAGATGATATTTTTTCAAATTATTTTATGTTGGCAAAAAATTGTATAAAATAACAAACTATTAATTCAAATTAAATGTTATAACCACAGTTTCATTTAATTTTTATCCGTAGCAAACACTTGTCATTCGCCTCTCTCCCCAGAGAATCTCGCTCGTTTTATACAAACACATATGTATAAATTGTGTTTGTGTTTGTATAAAGCAAGAGAAAACTGTATATACAAATACATATATTTTCGTCTTATACACTTATAATTATACAAATACAGATCTTCTCCTACCGGTTCTCTTTTGCCTTTCTCTCTTTCTCGCTTTATACAAACACAAATTATACAAATTACAATGTATAATTTGTGTTGTATAAAGAGAGAGAGAGAGATTTGATATACAAATGTTTTATTTCGATTCAATTGTATACAAATTCAAATTTTATGCAGATATATATACAAACACAATCATTGATACATATACATAGTAGTTACATATATACAATTATCTAACTGATATACATATACAATCACTGCGCTTTTATACAAAGGAATGTCTGCCTGTGATTTATACAAATCTGATGATTCATACCAAACATAAAATTTGTTATGGAGCGCAATTATGCAAACTATAGCTATAATATACAAATATGATTTTTATGTTTGCTAAACCTAAAATTTACTCTTTTATGTTAGATAGTAAGCAAAATGTATTAGGTTAAAAATATTTATATATAATCTAAACAAACATTATAGGGAAGGGATTATAGACGTAGATCGTATCGTAGGGTGAAGTGTGGGTAGGGAGATTGAATGTTGGGCGTGGAGAGGTTAAAGGAGATAATCAGTGTGGAACATCATTTATGAAACTTGTTTTATCTAATTTTATTAGAGAGACTATTTTTTCTGCTTTTTAATAAACTTGTTTTTTCTAAAATAATAATAATGCATATTTTAATCAATCTAATCGATAATACTTTTCCAAACTGCTTATTTATTTCATGGATATATATATATATATATGGGGACAATAATACCTAAGCTTTCTATCAAGAAGTTTTTTTAAAAAAATAAAAAATAAAATGCAACTTACTCTTTTTGTACATAATCTTTCCCAAAAAGGTTTTTTCCTAATATAAAATTAGTAGGAATTCGTAGAACGTGTAGACCTTCCCTCCATCACTCTACGTCTCAACACACTTGTAAGTTGCAATATATGTAGATTTTAGTTTATTAAAAATACAGATAGGTTGATTAAAAAAAAATAAAAAATACAGATAGGCAACAACGTCATTAACTTAACATCAGCCACACCTTAATTATTACAAAACAAATCCATAAATTATCTATTTTCTTGTAAATTAATTTCACTACATATTCAGCGGCAATCAGTACTCTTTGTAAATATCTCTAAAGCTTACATCGACATTATATTGAATTCAAGGTAATTAACTAATATTGATATAGACTTTAGCACTCTTTGTTATTGCATATATTTATTGCTTCTAAAAAAATGTTTTTGTTATAGTGTCAGCTTTCATAATTGAAATCTACATATATTATTATTCCCTAATTGGAGGTGCAAAGCACTTCTTTGATCTGATATCATAATGGAGCAAAAAGAATTTCGTGTATCAATTTACAAAATCAAATAAATTAGTATGAATTAGCAGTTCTTGTCTCCCACTTCCAACTAGCCATGTAAAATATTAATTATTTTGATCCATCTTATCCAGCTACATAAATAGGAAAATAAAGAAATATTTTTTATATTACTCTAATTATATTTAAAAGAGAATCTAGAAATCTCAATTATGGTTTGTTACCAATATAATGTTGGTATTATTCCAACAGTAGGTAGGTATTCTAACCTCTGGAATTTCAATTAAATTGAATAATTGTACAAGGAGAATTTTTTTAAAAGGTAAAAAAAATATAATCTGTAATTACACCAACTATGTAATTTTGGGGGGAAAAGGAATAATATATAGTAGCTAGGTTGAAAATTGGGGAAATATATAAGTGTTTCAATCATATTCCATGAAATAATTAGATATATAATATTATAGATTGATTTTATTTATGTTTTCTAGTTATAAGACTTTAGGGGGTGTAAGGGTTCCACAACAGCATAATGTGGACAATAATGTGTTAACAAGTAATTATTGGATTAAATTTTTGACACTAGGAGAGATTTAGAGATTATTATAGCATAAAGTCAATAGTTTTGTTTTTCCAAACATAGAAATAATTAAAAAGTTAAATATATAGCAATTTGCAACCAATTAAAAGTGCTAAACCCTAATACTTTCGTGGCAGCTATAGTACAAGAGTACAACTTGCTTATAATACTTTCTAATGTGTGTGAAAATGAAATGAATTCACAAGACGTGGAAATAATATTATAAATCAATTTGTCAAATAAATGAATTTACTTACTGCCTACAAGTGGGGCAAAAAAATAATTCCTATATTTCAGATATTTTCATCTAATTATTATTGTCAAGAGTAGACCTAGGAGCTGGCAAAGTCGTCGCACTTGATGTTAAAAATGGTTCTCTTCCTTCTTTACTATTTATCGTCTACTTAGTACACAGCTTTCATTAGGTGTAGATTTTGAGGAAGGGTCGGATTATATATAAGATGATCTATTTTACTTAGTCTTACTTTGTATTTCTACTAAAGACTTCCACATTATAAACTCGTGACCTTCAGATCATATAATAATAATTTTACGCATTATTCATAACATTGTATAAGTTAATTAGAAAATTATTTCAATTTTTATTGACTTACTAATAGCAATATAATGTATCCTAATATAAGAAAGTGATTCCTTTTTTCCTTAACCATTAGCGATAATGTTGAGTCGTCGACATGTCAGCCGAAAGGGGATTAAAAACTACATTGCTAGTTCAGTTTAATTAAGGGGTGTCAAAATATAAAGAAATAAAATTGCGTAGAAGTAAAAGAGTGTCATATATATATAATATATATTCTTATAGCTACACAATGTAATTTTCCGATGAAGGAGTATATCTGGCTCCGCTACTGATTGCTACAGTATTTTTATTATTACTTCCTCCATTTCAATTTATATGACATAATTTCAGAGGTGGAGCCAAGGTTAGGAGTTTGGGGTTCTAAATCAATTTTGTTTGGGGGTTCGCATGTTAATATACATATATTTATTTAATTTTCTAATATAAATATAGGATCTACGAAAAAGCTAGTGGGTTCGTCCGAATCCATGAAACCCCACCTAGCTCCGCCTCTGCATAATTCATCTGTACATAGAGTTTTTTATTAAGAAAAAATGAAAATAATTTTGAAATTTATAGACTTAAACACGCCATATTATTTGTGTGAATATAGAAATTCATTATTATGAATGAAATTGTGATCGAAATTTTTTCAACTCCTAGCTAAAACTCAAATCTGAAATCTTTGGCTAAAGAAATCATGTTTATTAGTATTTCATTACAACTCTCCAATAATATTTCAAAAGCTCAATTACATGGCAACACAGTACACAAACTCAACATATTATATTCCTCAAGGAAAAGGAGAAAAAGAAATATATACTAGTTGGTAAATTTAAAAAAGGAACTAATTAAGAGAATCCCAATAAAATATGGATTATCATATTACACTACTATTTTAATATACTTTGGTGTAATATTTAATCCTCTCCAATAAGAAAATGCCGTCCAATTCTTAGTTCCAAAAGGCAAAACATAGATCTTTTTCTTCCAAACTAATTTTAACCCTCAAGTAGAGACTTTTCCTATTTAAATACCTTCCCACCATTACTCTAACATTAATACCAACAATATCTTCTAAATTTCTCTCTAAACAGTTTCAAATTTTAGAATCGATCGAAAGGGAGAAAGAATTAAGATGAAGCAAATAACCACAAGTGCAACCACTAGTCCAAGTTGTTGTAGGAACAATTATAAGATGAATAGAGATTCACATTCAATATCCAAATTGAAGCCAAAAATACGAATAATTCATATAATAGCACCAGAGATTATCAAAACAGACGTAGAGAATTTTCGTGATCTTGTACAAAGGCTAACGGGGAAGAATGCTGCACGTGAAGTCAAAGGGAAAAGGGCAAAAAAAGAAAGGAAGAAGATAGAAACATCACCACAACAACAACAACAAGATCAACAACATATGATGGTGATGAACATGTTGCATCAAGATAATAGTACTAGTAATAATTATAGGATGAAAGAGGAAGAAAGTAGTAGTCATGAAGAAGGTATATATGGAAGTATTGAAAATTCATCAAATGGATTTTTAAGTGGCTTTGGATCAATGGAAGGATTTATTCAAGACTTAGGTCATGATCAATATCCTCTATTTCCTAATTTCAAGCCTACTCAAATTAATATGTTTGGTGAGATGCCCCTTTGCTAAATATTTTCTTGAGAAAAAAAAAAAATACTATAATTTTAACGAATCAATATATAGTGTGAGGGGGATTGTGTGACCATGATCAATGACTTCTTGATTATACTTTTTTTTTTTTCTAATTTTTTTTTGGTTGGATTTGGAGTGGTGAGGAAAAGGGGTTTGGGGAAAGGGAAGATGATGATTGACTTTTCTTTTCTTTTTTTCATTTGTAGAGAGAGGATTCATACATGTGAATATAATGTTTTCTTCAATTCTTGTAATTAATTGTTAACATTTTGTGATTATTCTTTGATATATTTTTTCGTTAATTACCCTTTCATAGATCTTATTATCTATTTCTCGATGCATCGAAAGCTCTTGTTGTATAATGTCCTAGTTGATAAATATATGTACATTCAAAAAGAAAATTAACTTTTATATACCCAAATATTAGAAACTATTTCCTCAGCAAGAATTCCTAGATTATCGACTTAGTAGAGTATTTATTCTTAGATGGACAAAGGGTTTCAATTACTTATTGTCTATTTCAAAGAACCAACAAGTGAAAAAAAATAAATGATAATGTAGTTTAGAACTATTGAGCATAGCATTTTACTCAATACAGTGATGTTGGTGAAAAGTTATTAATGCCTATCGAATGTTTTTTAGGATTTATAGTTAGTTGTTCTTTAACTAGGAATCCTCCATATTTCCATCGGTTTGCAATGTACATGGAAATATGCTCTCAATTAACGACTATCTATCACGGTTCAAACGATTTTAATCTTCGATGATCAAGTTACTTGAGATTTTACATCTATATATAATGAGATAAATATAACTTTTGCACACTTTTCATTAATTCATGAACATGATCTATACAGTGAATTTAATTTTTTTACCTCCTAGCTAAAAATTTAAAGATTCTTACTACTTTGGAGTTTGGAATGTTCTCATTCATAAAATACTTCAAGAGTATGAAAATAGTTAGTCATATCAATGATGCAAATATGGTTAAGTATATATAACTCCAAAATCTACTGTTTGTTCATACTACTACATAAAATGTTAGGGGAAAAACTAAATGTCAGATGCAGTTAGTACACAGGCCTAAATGTAATGGCATTGGTTACTATAATATGTATTTTTTTATCGAATCAACAATAACAATAACACATCTAGTATAGTCCCATGAGCGGGGGTCTGAGAAGAGTGAGATACACGCAGATCTTATTTCTATCTTTACGTGGTAGAGAGATTATTTTCAATGGAAATCTTCTCTCAAAAGACTCATTTTTCAGAACAATTTTTTTTTTAAAATGCAAGTTTTAGAATTTGAAGGGAAAAAGGGAATAATAGGTAGATATGCAAATAGGCAAAAGAGTGTTTCATGCCTCCTTTTTTTTTTTTCTAAAAAACTTTATAAGATTGATGCAAACAGAATATGTGTATTTCTTAGTTGTGTGAGTAAATGTTAAGACTTTAAATTAATGGAGATCGAGGGGTTCCACAACATAATAATGTGGATAATATACAATGTGTAAACAACGACTTTTGGATTTAATTGTTAAAACTACAACTTTGATTATAGAGCAATTTATTTTTTTATAACATAAAGTCAAGTGTTCCCTAACCAGACACCTTGCTTAAACCTAAAAAAGTCAATTAGTTAAGTAAGAGCAATTTGCAACTAAGAACTTAAGTACTAAACCTAATTAATTCCAGCTTATAGCTCTACTACAATTTGCTATTAAAAAAATTGAATATATAAGAGTTGATTTTATTTTCTTTTTGTTATATTATAAGAGTTGATTCTTGTTCTTATTATCCTATTCTACAAGCTATAACCTCTAGAGGTTCAGATGGTAAATATATCATTTATTTAAGCATTTAAGATTAATCAATACTAATCCTACTCAAGTTGCTTTTAATTTTTCATAATCCAAGTTGTCTAGTAAATGCAATTTGCCTCAATAATCGATCATGACAATTGAGTTAAACTATATTAATCATTTTGAATTAGGAAACATCAATCATACTCTTCCATATTAGCCAAGAGATAATTAACATTAAATAGTTTAAGAAGAATTTAAAAAAATATTGCAATAAGTTGAGAAGATGGTAAAAATCTTTCCTCGTGCCATCTTAAAGTTGACTCTTGAGGAGGGAAAATCCATCAATTTCTTGGCGGTGATGCTTTTATTACTTTAAATATTATATAAATTTGTGTTACATGATATATTAAAGAATACAAAAATGATAAAGATGAAAAATTAGTTTATATAATATCAGTTGACTTGAGATTAACTAATTAATTAAGTGAACATCACAGTTAATTACTAAGTCGGTTGCCATCAAGTCAATATACTATATTTCTTGGCGGAAAAAGAGAAGAAAAAAAGGTTGATAAACTAAAATATATATACTTCAAGGTAAATCCCAAGTACTTAACACAAGAACTTGGATTAATTAATATTGTATTATCTATAATTAATATAGTAAAGAAGTGGGTGGTGATTGACTTCGTTTTCTCCATTTTGTAGATATTCATACTTCTCAATGTAAAAAACTTTTGTTAATTTCTACGTATTTGTTTGATGTCATTATTACGTAATTAATTGCTAAGCCAATAAATATTGTTGGCGTCTTTAATTTTGTGACACTTTGATTATAATTTTTAAACCTAGAGATCACGTATGTGTGGACAATTAAAATATACTTTGGTTTACATTTGCATTCTGACTTCCAAGTGTGAATGAGAATTTTGTAATCACTAGTTGTAAATATACAAACATGTTGGTGGCCTCGATATCATTTTCGGTTTCTTCATATTTTATCTCTTGTTGTGTGACATGACAAACCTACCGTTTGTTTGATATTTACATCAAATCAAATCAACAAATGCATGATAAGTATCTTAATATCACCTTATCAACATTTACAAGTACATGACTTGTAAATCTTTAGTGGGGCCTAAAAGATCATTGCAAAATGTATATGAGAAGTCAAGGCTATAGAGTTTTTCCTTGTCCCTAGAGAACAAACGATATTTCAGACAAACATGACCAGTACATCAATCCATGAAAACATTTATAGGAGAATAAAACTGTTTTACAGTATAAACGTCTAATATTTTCGTTATTGACAAGAACTGCAACAGAATACCAGGTGTTACGTTTTCGTTTTTCTCTAGTAATAGCACAAAAATATAGCAAAGGAATCAGCAACGGAGACACGATTAAGGTGTATTTCATAAGGATTATATCACAACAGCCTGGGCAGAAATGGTACATGTTATGGAACAGGTATATATTTTTTATTTCAACACAGCATACAAGATAAACACTATAATTTACGGAGACACACGAGTTCTTTCTGCATAGGCCTTACTATTTTTTGGTGGTGTTCGAAACATGCTCATACACAGCGTCGAAAATCCAAATTGAAGTTTACTTGCTTAATTAAGTCCAGCATTTTCACATGTTTGGTCACCTTCCTCTTTTCTTTTTCTCCTTGTACTTCCTCTCTCACTCTTTCCTTGGTGCATTTGATGCCGCGTACCTGGAAATTAAGCAAAAGAATAAATGCAAGAAAAAATAATTCTGACAAAGTGATCATATGTAGAAAAATGATGTGAAAATCAACTTTTAACCAAAGACACTTCCAACAGGTGTGCAAAAAAACAATGTTCTTACCATATCGTGAACATCTTAATAGATTTCTAGAAGGCACTCATTAAGTTCCTTGCACTGCAGCCAATAAAAAGCAGAACCAGGTTTGTCCCCAAAAAATATATAATATAGATAACATAATACACTTCAAGTCAAATCAAAATTATAACCGAAAATCCCCAAGTGATGGATTGGCCCCTCTACCTTTCTCCACTTAAGCTTTTGTCTGTGGCAAGGTTCAAACCCCTCTTTTTTAATAAGGTAAGGTAACTCCATTAATGAAAAAGTATCAAGAAGGTACCAACTTACAAGAAAACCAAACAAAAGCTACATTCCCAAAAACTCAAAACACCTCTATATACTGGGACATGCTATCAATCAAACTACTCCTACACCAAAAGCACAAGCTTTCAAAACATCTATTCGTAACAAAAAAAAAGTGAAGTTTCTTATCATCAAAATGTCTCCTATTTTTTTCTAGCCATATGTTCCACTCCAAATCATCTTAAATCTATTGTTCACAACCTAGTTCTGCCAACATTCACGTAATTGTTTGACTGTTTCAGGCATTACCCACTGTACTCCACAAATTTTGAAAAAAAGATACTAGATTTGTTGACTCAAAATCTTCTTCACAAAAGTAACATCCACTACACAAAATCTCTCTTCTGCAACATATTCTGAGTTAGGCATGCATCCATGGCTGCAGTCCAGCCAAAACAAGTTACTTCCCTTGGTGCTTTAGTTTTCTATAACATTTTCCACGGCCAAGTAAGGTCCCAATGTCCAAGTTGTTTCTGTAGAAGAGTATAGCTACTTTTAACAGAGAAGCTCCCGTCTTCAATTGTTGTCCAGATTAGAGAGTTCAATTTATTACCTTCAAGAGTAATAGGATCCAGTAAATGTGACAAATGACTAATATCATCCATCTCCCAGTCGTTAAAATTTCTCCTGAAATGCAGCTGCCACCCAGAATTTATATAGCACTCTGCCACTGTACACTGCTCATTCAAGGAAATACTATACAAAATGGGTAACTTTTCTATTAATCATTGATCTCCTAACCACAAATCCTACCAAAACATAGTTTTACACCCATTCCCCACCCTTCAGTTTAGTAAGAATTTGAAACTCAGGCCAAAATTTAACAATTTGTTTTAGACACCACTAATAGATGGCTTAAAAATTGTCCCACGTATCCAAAAATCTTCTTTACCATATTCTGAGATAATGATCTCTTTCCAAAATTCATCTCCATTTTCTTGAATCTCCATAACTATTTAAATAACAAACTCTTGTTATAAAACTTCAAATTCCTTATCCCCAAAGCCACCACTTTTTTTTATCTCTCATTACAAACAGACACTTTACAAGTGCATCTCAAATTAGTGACGTGGGCCTGACTTACACATCACATGTTGAGCTCTTATCACTAGACCAGGCAAGCCTTTCTACTTATG